CCATATTTTAGATACACGTCTCAGAGACATATCGTGGCAGATTCTGGGATCTGTCAACAGATGACAGGGAACCTCCAGGCTGCGTCCTCATACTCATACCAACAATCTCTCAGACAAGAACCATACAACTATATAAAAACAGCTACACAAATGAGAATACAGGGTGTTTTTCAATGAAAAGCTTAATTACCTAAGTGTCAGGTATTTGTAGGAATTCATCTGTGTGAGATTATTATTTACATATCCTCTTCGGATTTCATATTTTCTTTTTAGTCTGTTTTAATTTCATGTAATATAAAGCTAATATTAAATAGTCTAAAATAAAACTACTATAAGTCAATAGAATTTTAGCATTCTACATCGTAATATGTCAATATCTCAGTGACTTGTTGAACGTTGAGTTTACAATATATTTAAGAGTATGCTCCAAAACATTCTGAAATAAGAGTCCATACAGAACACCATTTTGTAAAAAAAATTTCTGTCAACCACATAATGGCAAGTCATATGGTGACATCAAAGCAGTGGGATATGAAATGAAATATCAAAAGAGTGATATCCATGGATAAAGGGGTAAATGTGTGATAAATATATCTTGTTGCCTATAGTTGTTCTTGAGAAAAAGAATTTTAAATGATCCCAACCAATATTCACTACATGTATTTGTTATAGCCATTTTGCTCATGTTCAAATTTTAGCGCCATTATGTCATGTGTATTACGTCATGAATTTTTAAGTACACATTATTTTCTTGAGTACTGCACGAGCAGTGACATTCGATGGAAGGTATTGTTCCCTGGTCTGTTCTTTTGTTCAATGCATCTCTGGAATTGGGAAAAGACTACTATTCGTAAGCCAATTATTCAAACACCAGCACACCCATATGTATTTGTAATTTTGTATGCATTTCTTGTATTTTATTTATGAATCGGTATTTTTTATACTCGATAATGGTCTACATAGTCGAGCATATTGGATAATCATTACTTCTAATGTAAAGCTATATTCATCATGTTTATAGATTTATTATATTGAACACAATATTTTGAAACTATTTATAACATTCATTGATAGGTCTGCTTATCTGTTGTTTAGGATAGGTGTTAAATGCATTAAGGTTAGAAATCTGTGTATCGCAAGGGCGATAACTCTCATTTCCGTTTGTAAACACCAATTTTGAAAGTTAGACATTTTTTATGCATACTCAGTAATATATAGAACGTTAACTTATAAAGTATCATTTTTGGGTTTGTGATATTGATAGCATATATTCTGGCATATATTTCTAGTCTGAATTGCCTTGGCACTGCCAATTTTTAGTCCGAATTGTCTCTGTTTATTGGTATTGCATTGTGTTACAAGAATTTTTTGTTTACAATTTTGTTTATTTACTTTACAGTAAATCGTAATGAAACGTATGATGAACGGTATGAAACGTATGATGAACCGTATGAAACTTATGATGAACGTATGATGAATCGTATGATGTCAGTCATGTATCCGCGAAGCGGATTATAAAAAAGCGTAAACTGACCCAAACCAGATTATACTCGATAATATGGCCAAGAATTAAAGTCATTCCTTATAATTTGATTTTAAAACAATTAAACAACTTTTGATGTAAAATTGTGTTGCTTTTTATAATTTCAAATTTACCGCGCAATAATACAACCGTAGTAATGGAAGTGATTTGAAGCGAGGGGGGGGGGGGGGGGGGGGGTAATAACTGATACAAAGATCTAGCAGCCGTGATGTTTGTTTACACGAGGTAAGAACGAGTAATTGTTTAAAGTTGAAGGTACATTTATTAGATTTGGAATTTTCCATGGATTCCGAGGATTGGAAATGAGGGGATAACATTGATATGATGATTAAGCTGGTCGTCAAGGGGGTGTGTCCCCATAACAAACCAGATTATACAAAATGTTTTGCGTTCCTTTTTGAAATTCAACCAATGAGAGGCGAGAATTCAAACAAAATTAAATTATTTAGCGATAATCAAATTTTTGCCCATGTTTGGCGCTATTTCTATAACATGCTTATATATATTATCAAAATAAATATCGGTCGATACTTTCATTCCACTTTGCTAATAACATGTATGAAAATGCTTGTATTCAATAGTATTAGTTATTAGTGCGCTATATACAGGTGCATTTACAATACCTTTATATTTACAGTTCCTATGTTTTCCTTAATATGTAGAACGAAATTATTTTTCTTTAATTTAAGGTATAAAGGGAAGATATGGGGTTCAAAAATGTTCCCTATTTCCCCAATTATACCTCACTTTTACAAACTTTTCTTCTTTTTACAACTAATCACCGTTTGCTTACCCTATTGATTAAATCAACGTTGATCTGCAAAATTAACAAATTATAAAGGGGTCGGTGTTTCATGAGAATATATATCACACATTTCAGTTTTTTGAATTGTTTTGCATTTTTTGTTTGAGATGTAATAACTGGATATCAAAAATAGGAACTTTCCAAATTTCTCTGTCTGAAACATTGAAAATATTAATTCATATAAAAATCAGGAACAAGTAAATAAATTTACAAGGCACCAAAGAAGCAAATAGCTTAGAAATTTATTATCATTTTTACACTATTACTGTTTATCCAGAGCATATTGTCGGCATTAAACCAAAAAGGGAAGAAAATCAGTTTTTGTTTATATTCATAAGCTGAGAAGACAACTCTTTCATAAAAAGATGTTTTTGACGAAGTTCCCCTGCCATTCCCATGTCCTCCTGGACTGTTTCATCAAATACATAGCCATCTTCAGAGTTGATAGAAACACTGTCTGTCCTGTTTTCTCTGTAGTCTATTCCCTCTTGTTGAAACGTTTGCATTGATTTATTTCTGTTATCGCTTTTCTGAAGACAGATTGAAGCATCTCTATACAATCTTTCGTCAGAAGTCATTTCACCACTACTTAGTGAATCACCTAAGACTTTGGTTCTAGAGCAAGTTGAAGATGCATCTGAATGGATATCAGTGGTGGAATGCCGTGTCCAAGCTGAAGGCTCAACGTAACCAGTAACTCGTAGTGTGAGGGTATTGTAAACGCCTGTCTCTATCTCAGCATTACTGTCATCTTCATTAAAAGACCCCGAGGCTTTTTCCACGTGATTTATTGAACTAAGTATCGGTACAGTCCGTGTTTCAGACCAACATGTCTCTTCCCCTTCCTTTTCTTTGTTTCCCTTGTATACAATGTTAGAAACGGATACAGTCTCCTTTTTTTCGTTATTGTTTAGGGAATAATCTGTATAAAAATAAAATCGTAATGCAGTTTACTTTCCCAAGAATATGAAAATCATCACAAAGACTTCAGCAAGTTAGTAAGGAAGTCTTACCATTGCATTTTTGGCACAAGTTTACGCCTCTTTAAAATAAAGGAAAAAAACAAACGTAAAATTTAAAGTCACAATTCGTTTTACAAAGACTATGTGGTTAAAGAAATGATCTACATATACCTGTTCTTGAGTATCAAAATTGAAATAGTAAGAGAGATAGCCATGATACTCGTTGGGAAAACTATTAGAAGTAATCTTCTTGTATGGAAACTTGAATTCGAACTAGCTGAAACAATGAAAAAGAAGATATTGTGAAATTATGAACATTAGTAAAAAAAAAAAGCATAATTTGATTTACTCTGTTCACATTTGCTCAGATATATCATTATTATGGAAACAAGACTACCCAAGTTTCTGGAAATCGTGTCAATCCCTGTGACATATTTTTTATCCTGTAAGCATGGAATACGAAGGACCTACAATGATTGAAGTTGGATATGATTTTTATCCAACTCGCTGTGTGTTTAATAAACTCCCATCAAGGCGAGTGGATATGAAACACACAACTCGTTGGATAAGGATAAAAATCATATTTAACTTCAAATCATGTGAGATCATATATCTATATTCCAAGTGATGTTATGCAATAAAATTAAAAATGCAAATTAAATGTTTATAGTCAGTTGGAAAGATTTTATCCTTACTTGGACATCCAATTCTTTTATCACACCCAGACTTGCACTGACATGTTCCTGTGCATAATTTTCCAAACGTACCTACAGGACAGTCATCTTTACACTTCATTCCAAATTTTCCGGGAGGGCAGTCTATAGGAAAAAATAACTAATTAAAGAAAATATAGTTAATAAAATGTTATTTTTTATGTTAGCATGAAAATAAATTTTGCAGCTTTTGATAATATCTATATAACCTTCTTTTAACGAAGGTTAAAAGCATTTTATTCTAAAACAGTTCTTACATTAATTTAAAAACATTCAGACAAATGAAGCTTTCTTAAAAAATAAATCGAAAATGAATACTATATTTCTTGTGGAAAAATAACAGGACAAAAAATAGATTTAAAGATAATAAAGACAATATAAAAATTATTGATTATCCTATCTAACTACTTATTTCTATCTATTTACAATATAATATGTTTAATATGAAAGATGAAATGCCAGTTTTGTAATACAGTGAAACCTGTCTTATCCGACAAGCCATGGGAAATAGAATTTATGTCGGATTAAACAGTGTGTCGGATTACTCAGTGTTGGCTATTTCTGTCACAATTTGTCAAGTATGGCATTAGATCCAACATTATCAGTAAAAGGTACATGGTTAATCGTGGCCTCCATAATTATATATATTTCATATGAAAGATTTTTACAAGAAGATGTGATTTTATTTCAATAAATAATTAAATGGCATGGTACATTTCTATTTACAGTTTCAGACAATAAACAATGCAACGTATAACGTTAGTTACAGTTCCTGAGGTTTAGTGAAAAAAGTGTCAATTGTTGTCTGTTTTTGTTAAGTCGCTGTTTCATTAAAGTCTCTTCTGTCAGAGTTGCAAGGTACTGGATAATATTATGTATCTTTTGTCGGTGACCTGTCTTTCGGTGAGTTGTCTGGCACCGGAATGCTTTCGAAATATCGGGCGTCCTTAGCAATTGCACATTATCGTCCCTGAATTATATAGGTGTCGCATGACACGTTTAAGTTCGTGACTTTTCGTTCTTCCAATTTTAGAGAGTGCCAACGTAATTTCGACCTTGTATACCTTGCTATTTTAATTAAAATTTAAAGATATATTGGCCGATTATGGGTCGTGGGATTTATCCACGCTTAGAAAAGAGCTACGTAAACGAAACGCTCGCATTTCCGGCCGCGAAAGAGAGTTGGTTGAGAGGTAATACTTGCGGAAAACTTCTAAACCATAATTTTATCTGTTGAACACAGAATCCTGATTAAGACGTTATCGATACCTGATATTCTTTGTTATTTCAAAAAAAAGTTCTCCAAAAGCATATTTTATGTGTCGTTAGTGAGATGAATTACAATTTAAACTGTCTTCATTTTTTAATGCCAGTCTGAGTTAGTTTTTGACACACGTTATTGTCAATCTGTATGAGGCGAAGCCAAATGCTATTTACGTTTTTTTAATTTGAGTTTTGTTCATTTATTGTGTACATAAACAAAACACCTACAAACTTCAGCATGAATCACTGACTACATTCTCAGATGACCAATTGACCAAACGGGACTTTAAAATCACAGCTGGGACCCGTAATTGGCCAGCGGCTAATTATGGTATACCTACCTGGGGTTTAATTAACGAGCCGTGTAATTATGTCGGATAACACAGGTAAAATTGCAATGCAATTAATAGGCTGTGTTTACAAAAAGGTGTCGGAATTCGGAATGTACAGTGGTCGGATTGTAAAGTATTTTTCTACATAAGTTATATAAAGATTTTTTTGGGAATAAAGTTTTGCGTCGGAAGTGCCAGTGTGCCGGATTGCACAGTTGTCGGATTGGACAGTGGGAAATATATCAAGCCTTCATAAACAACAATTTCAACACATACATGTGTTAACATATAGTATTCTATGTTACTGTTCATTTAATTTTTGCTGGAAAGAGGAAGCATAAATATTTATAGTGAGCACAGTGAGTGTCGTGAAGCGAGGCTCGTGAGGCAAGCTCAATATTCAACTAACGTGTAATAACAGTAATAGAAGTGTAGAATTTGGAATGAAATCTGTACACACAATGAAAAATCAATCATTTTGGAGTTTTATAAAGACAGACAAGAAATAAATCTTGATGAAATTTCTTGCTAAATGTTTGCTGAATGACCCTAACAAATCTTTTAGAGAAGATAGTCTTCAGATGATACATTTTTATGATATTTTTCACTAGCAGATTCTTTTAATTTAAAGCAATATGAGCTGCATTTTTGAGAATTTTATTTTGCTGGTAAAATGTGTTAATATGATTAATCTGTATGTAATCTAAACCCTTATGATCAATAAAACCAAAATAAAGTTTAAAATTGTTTCAAAAGAAATATTTCTGTACAACCGAATAGTATTATATAAGAAATCATTATTGTACAGGACGACAATAACTCAATTTTGCTTCAATCAAAGCGTATAAAAAGTTCTTTCTTAGCAAATATGAACAACAGAAGTTTATAAATGTTCTATTTTTCTGTTGTTGAAATAGCTAACTACAAATTTGCAACATTTTTTCCGATGTCAAACATACAGCTCATATTGCTTTAATTTTTATTGAAAATTTTTTCTTTTGAAAGCCAATATAAATAAAATACTGTAAACTTTCCTTATTTGACAATCTACTCTCTGGAGTTTCAACCCTGGCAATACATTGTAACTATGGCATAATGATTGTTCAAATCATTAAATTGTCAGTTTGTCACTACTTGGGGTGTGCAATATTATTGATATATTGGTATAATGCAATATTAGACCCAGGAATTATATATCGCAATATACACTCGTTTGTCTCCCTAAGCTCCGATAGAGCTTCTTTGTGTACGTGAAGTCACAGCTACAGTCCCTGAAACATTCTACTTTCCCACCTGAACGGTGAACGAACGGTGAACGAACGCTGAACGAACGGTGAATGAACGCTGAACGAACGCAGAGCGAACGGTGGGTGAACGATGTGCAAACGCTGAAAGCAACATGGTGAACGATGTGTGAACGGTGAGTGAACGCAGAACGCGAAAGGAGCGCAAACGCGAGCGCAAAGTGAACGGTGAACGAACGGTGAACGCAAGATGAACGATTTATTCGAATGCCTCCGATCTTTTCCTTGCATTGAGATTAACCTATTATTATTCTATAATTCTAATTTCAGGTGCTTAAATACAAATAAAAAAATAAATAAATAAATAAATAATAAAAACATTTTTCTTCTGTACAAATATGTACCTATGTTTTAAATATATAATTTTCTAACACGATTTCATTTGCTGTAAAACGTGTATTTGTTTCCGAATGCGTGAAGATTAATTATAAAATTAATCTATTTATAAAGTAAATATGCTTATTTTTTCACTTATAAAATAATGTGGTCTTCTGAAGATAAAATTACTAGAGAATGAATTAATTATATTGTAACAACCATACAAGTATTTCCGTGCCAAAGCAAATCTGAGGAAAATAACGGATTTTTTTTTTAATTCACAATTATCTGTTGACATTGACTGTTATCATACTGCATAAAAACTCTCGTTTTATTTAAATTCTAATGCAAAATATTCTATATTTATGTGCCTTTTGTATTCTTTTATGACGATTATTTTAGCTAACTTCTTCATGTATCTGTAGACATTTCCAGGCCGTGATTACACTCGGTCAAGATGTTGGAAAGAGGCATTCAATTTATTTGTAATAGATTAAATTTTCAAAACTAAATAAGTAATGTGCTGTCATAGTTTTTATTGAACAGAGAATTTATGAGAGAGAGAGAGAGAGAGAGAGAGAGAGAGAGATATAAGCACCACCACCCCCCCCGCCAGTCTCAGTTATCTGTTGTATCAAATAAAAAAATCTTATTATTTTTCCTTAAAATTCCAAGCAGTAAAGGTCATCTTTTTTTTTTAAATTAACAAAACAATTTGACAGTAATCATTGGCTTTTATTTTTCATCATCAAGTTCACACAGTATACAGGAAGTTCGTGCTAGTGCATGTAGCTTGTCCTGTAAATAATTCGACACAGTGGAGGTGTGGAAATCGTGTTTCACCGAACATGTCGAAGGCAAAGATTCACTTAGTATTCCAAGAAGTTTTAATATTTTCCCCTATAATTTCTATATCTGATTTTTGCATTCCTGCAGAAAAAATAAATAATTGGAATATATACTTGGAAGGATTAAGTTTTAAATTGAATTTGAAACATATTCCCTGCCAATTTAAAATACTACTATACACAAGTTTATTCTTAAATACTATTGTTAAATGACTGTTTGATGTTGGTTTTAAGACTGATTTTCTTGTGTTACAATACAAATTAAAAGTTAATTAAAATATACTGAAAAAACTCAGTAAGAATTTTATTTTGGGAGAGAGACACGAGGAGGGGGGGGGGGGGGGTCTTAATTAAACTGAATGGCAAACATATATTTAAAACATGTGTTTAGGTATGGTGAAGTAAGGAATTTTCCTTCTCTAATAATAGACTATTTTAAATATTTTGGTCTTTTCTAAAATTTAAAACCACACCATCCATTTAATTAGCTCTAAGGATATTTAATTAACTGAATATTTGCAGTACTGTTCATAATTCTCAAACCTTCATGTAGTTAAAATACTTGATACTTTAGAAATATTTTTTTTTATGTATTCTTGTCCTGTAAAAGACTTGGATTAATTATTATACATCTATTAATAATTTGTCCTCTTTGAAATTACTACAAATTGATGCCGTGCGTTAAGTATTTGTACATTGCCCTTTTTTAAAGTTAATATTTTAGCATCATTCTACATGCATGTAGGTAATTAATGTATTATTTTCCAGGGAAATTTCATGAAATAAGTAACAGCTGAGTTATAATAATAGAAATACCATAGATAATTTTTGCGATGAAATAATTATTTTTCAAACACGATATCAAAGTTATTTAATTAAAAAAACATGTAAATCCTTATCATCAAAAAGATAAGTCCTTTCACTTCGGAGTTCCGAATGACAATGAAGACTGAACGATAAGTGAACGGTGAACGCAAAGTAAACGGAACGAAGAGCGAACGGTGAACATTTTGTGAACGGTGAACGCGAGCGCACGGTGAACGGT